TGGTTGCATTCGTTACCATTTGATCAAAATCAAACATTATTTCTCATTATCAGTTTTAAATACTTGCATGCATCAATTTTTTGATCGTAATTCAGTTGAAAAATCTAAACGACCACCAACAATTTGTTGTTGAGTTGACCAGGAAGAGGTCTTTCACCTTCAATGAAGGCGATTCAAATCTGGTCTTTGCTTAAGTATATGCCTATGATTGTTGGTCGATTTGTACCCGAAGATGATGGCTGCTGGATTTTTTTGTTAAATTTATGTAAACTTGTAGATTTAATATTTGCTCCTAAATTTACCAAAGGAATGATAGCATATTTAAGAGTCTTTATATCTGATCATCTATCGGATTTTAAGAATCTGTTTGGACAAGTAGCAAAGTTGCGTCCCAAACATCACTTTCTGGTTGACTTTCCTACAATTATTATAAAAAACGGACCTCTTGTTGGAATGAGTTGTCTTTGATATGAGATGAAAAATTCATTTTTAAAAAGATCTGCAAATGTAGTTTGCAACTTTGTTAGTATTTGCAAGACTCTTGCCATCAGTGTAACTCCTTTTACTCTCGCTTTTCAAAGCAATATTTGAAAAATATTATCACTGTAGGTAATAAATCTGAATTTATTGTTGCAAGTTTTGCTGGTACTTACCATGAATGTATTTGCATTAAACTTGGTATAGAAAAGACAGAAGTTATTTGTTTAGCTTTGAAATTGAATGTTGATTCTATTTTTTATCGCAAAGGCCATTGCTTTGTGATTGGTCGCAGAATAAATGGTGATCCAGTTTTTGGAGAAGCGGTAGCATTTGTTAGTTTACCTTATACTGATAAATGGTACATTGTGCTGCATTTATGCATTACAGAATACTTGTGTAGCCATTTTCATGCTAATGTCATATCTCAGAGTTTGCCTGCAGAATTTATATGTAAATCCATTGACAGCTTGTGTGACCATAATCCCCTTTTTAATTATTTGCAACCTGGTAAAGATAACAAAAATCTTATTCGACTTCCTTACCATATTGTGTGTTAAAGGATGTGTTAACTGTCAATTTAATTATTGGATTTTGAAATTAATATAAAAGACTTTTTAAATTTTTGTTGTTGTTATTAGTTATGTGATATTAGTATTCTCTGATTAATTTTGTTTAACTTTTACTAAAAACAACAAAACAATTTTGTTTTAAATTTACCATTTTAATACTTGTCATACATTGAATATTGTACAGTATTAATTATTATTAGTATCATTTACATTGTTCTTGTTTGATATTAAAATACATAAAATGTTTTGTAAATTGAAATGTTTTTATTAATAATTTTGTTATTTTTAGTTGAGTTTCTTTTTCAAAAAAAAAAAAAAAAAAAATTGGATGTTCTTTTTAAGCATTTATCTGGTATCTTGAAAGGGGATCTATCAGATGAAGTTATGTGTAGAATTCATGGTATATTGTTTCAATATAATTTCTTCTTTTTATGTTAGTTTGAATATTCTTAACTTATTTATTATTAATCATAGTTATAGTTTAATCCAACCAACTAATTATTACTAATTATTTAAATGAACAATTATTTTACTATTTTTAAATAATTTAAACTATCTATTTCATTACTATTTGTTAACATCACATTAATAATAACCATAATTGACAAATTTTGTAACTTTTTTATGAATCTTGGCGTATAGAAGAGGGATTGACTATTGATTCCTTTGTTTTGCTTAATGAAGAAGATCTTAAAGAACTGGGTTTAAAGATGGGTGAGCGAAAGCTTTTGATGTCTTGGATAAAATCAAGTGGTAAAATAATTAATTATAATTAATGCTTTAAAATAATTTTTATAATAACTAAAATAAATTTGTTTAAGTTTAAGTTTAACAAAACTACTTGTTTGCAGTTTGATAAATGAAAACTTGGATTTTAGCCTATAATTTATTTGGTAGAACTATAATTTTAGTGAAAATGTGCTTCCAAATTATCTAAGCCAGAACTGGTTAAAATAATAAGTTTTTAAACACTCTTTTTTTTTAGTAAGTTTTAGGTTGTTATCTAAGTGTCATTTTTTCATATTAGTAAACTCACAATCTTTAACAGAAGGTTTATCAATGATGGATTCAACATCAGTATCAACTCCAGCTGCAATAACGCTACCACTACCTGCCCGTGATGTAGTAAATGTCACAGGTAATGTAAAAAAATAGTATAAAAAAGTGCATTTCTGAATTATTAGTATAATTATATAGAAAACTAGCTTATTAGTAACAATTTTGTGCAGGTTTATGCACTTGAGGAAATATTATGTAACTATACAAAGGGAAGATTTAAAATAGTTGAAAAGCTGAAACAAGGCATCTACTACACAAGATCAGTTTTAATGATTAAAGTCCTTGGGAAATATCTGATGAAAAACTGTTTAATGTGAGTGCCATAGTGCAAGATTTTTATCATTTTTTGTTTGATCTTTGTAACTTTATTTTTAAGTTTAGAATTTTTTCAAACTGTGACATTTTAATTTTTTTACCCAATTCTCTTTAGCCAAAATGATCCTAGTTCAAAAGAAATGACAAATTTTGCAAAGAGTATTGTCATGGTCCTTTTTTCCAAAACCACACCAAATGGATATGTAAACATTAATTAATTGTGCATTTTCAAATGCTATATAATTGTAAGACTATGCATAATCTAGCTCTTTTTTTTTTAAAGGAAGAGATCTACTGTGCAAAGGGTGCCACTGGTTATCTTGCCTAATATGTGTGGCAAAAACGTCACAGAGACCCATTTATTAAAAAGCATTGGACTTGGCGAAAAAATAGGGTTTTTTTTTTAACAAAAATATCAGCTACTTTTTTGTTACCAAGATGTGTATGTATGATTTTTTTAAATTCTTGTAGAGTCAGGATTAGTAATCCATTACCAAACATTGAAGATGATGAGCGTCGACTTTGAGAAAGTAGGCCGACGGCAATAAACCTATATGAGTTAGTGCAGCTCATGCATAACACTAGAAAAAATCTTGGATCAATACTTGCAATCCTGATGCCACTAGTATTTTAAACAGATTTCCTTGTTTATTTGATGTAAACGAGTTGGTATGCTTTTGTTTTTTCATAAGTTTTTTCATAAAAGTCCATAAATAAAAAATATTTAAAAAAATATAATAAAAAAGTAAATATATTTTCATATGCAACTTAGTGGAACAAAATAAAAATTATCCTATAAACATATATTCTGCGAAATAAATGTCAGGTTATCCTAATATTGTTACAGTTTGACATAAATACGGATGGATTAGAATAAGTTTAAACGAATTTTTACTACTAATAAAATTTCATAAATTATTCATGAAATTTTGCAAATATAACAATATTTTGCGCACAAAAAAAATAAAGACAGTATACTGTTATTATCATTCTGTTATTTTAAGCCAGGAGTTTGCAGCGATTGTAGGCAAATTTCTTACTCTGCGAGTTGCTATGTTATCTTTTCGTCAAAAGATACTTGTATACTCTGAAAAGCTTAAAGATAACTCTACTATGCAACAAATGTTCAGAGCATACCAATCAGATGAATTTGATGAAGGTAAGCAACTTTCAGGATTTTTAAAATTATTTCTTATTATTACATAAATTAAAAATTACTTAATTATCTTTTCTAGACAAAAAGACTGAGTTATGGTTATTGTTGCCTCACATATTGATTTCACCACCGCAACGAGGCCTAAAAGCTCCTAAAGTTAGGAGGGATGTAGTGTCTAATCTGATGTTTGTGGATATGAACGAGGTAAGTTTAGATTATTTCTAAAAACAGTTTAATCATTCAAAAGTCACACAATTATTTTCAAATTGTCTTATAAATTATAAATCTATATTCATTTTTATTCATAAAGGAACAGATGAGTGTCCCTGAAGGAGTTGCTTCTCTACAAAAAAACGTAGGGGCAGGTATAGACAACCTCCCAACAATACTTTTTCGTCTTGATAAGATTTATTACATCAAGTTGGATGAAAGGGCCATCGAACTTCGTGATACAGCTTGTTTTTGTGATGCAATGGAGTTTTTGTTGAAGTGTTTTTATGTATTTAATTTAACTTATCCACACGAAATAAGCCAGTTTATGGTCTGCTTGAGCATCTCATGCACATGAATGTTTCGATCGGAAAAAGTGTCGCTTTATCAGACTACTTGGGAGCAATGTTTTAAAAGTTGCACAAAAGAACTAAAAACAATTACATTTTTTAATTTTAGTAGAAAAAACTTTGTAGTTATTTTTTGCTTTAATTTTAATCTTAAGCATTATTACTTTGAAATAATATTAATAAGACTAAATACACACCAAAAATCCCAGTTACACTTATGACATGGAATGACTCCTTGTTTGTATACGCAATTAGTTAATTCATGCTTTTCATTAAAATTCAATTTTGAGTTGATTTGATAAAAGTATGAAGCGCCCAGTCCTTAAAATGCAGAATTTGAAAAAACAAAATTTTTACAACGCAGCCCTCGCTAAAGTAAGGTTTCTCAACATTTGTGTTGTAAAAAATGCAACATTAAATGTTGCGTTAAATTATGCAACATTTAATGTTGAAAATTGTCAACACTTATGTTTGGGAGTCAAATACCAAAATCGAATGTTGCGCAGTAATCAACATTTTTTTTGCGTCTTCGCAACATCTGTTTTTGTGTGTACAGACATAAACAATTAGACAAACTTGCAATAGCTAGAATATAATAAATGTATGCTACTTTTAAATAAAGATATATTCATATATATATATATATATATATATATATATATATATATATATATATATATATATATATATATATATATATATATATATATATATATATATATATATATATATAAATGTTACTTAGTTAACTTGACATTTTCAATTTACATATGTTATCCAAATAAATTAAAAATATTCTTATAATAGTTCTAATATTAATTCTTATTATAAATATGTTAAACCTGTAATAATTGTACTTACTTGAACATTTCTGACACATTTTTTGTCATTTACTTTCCTAATGAAAATCAAAAAAAGAATAAATATGAAAAGATGAAGCAAAAATCAGACAGTAAGATAACACAAAAACATGCTATCAGATAACAAAAAATCTCACAGCTAATTAATGCAAAAACCACACAATCAGATAATGTAAAATTTTAAAACAAATAAAAACAAATTTTAAATGATTGAGATAAGTAACTACAATTATAGTTTATTTCAAATAATTTTACTTTCAAGTATCATATACAAATATACATATAAATATATTGATAACATTGATGTTTTAAATTTAATAAAATGTTGTAAATTTTATTAAATTAAAACATTAGGCCATTTTTTTTTTAGTCTGAAAAAAATCTGGGTTAAGGTCTGCATTTAAAAAATGAAGAGTGCAAAATATTGGACAACCTAAATCAAAAGCAAAACTAAAAGCAAAAGAATATACCATATATTAGGGTGGGAGCCTAAATAAATATATTTTAAATCCATTATTACTTTATTTTAAAGAACACATTAAAGGTGTGTCAGCAGATAGTTTTTAAAAATATTGTTTTAAGAGCAACTCTAGTATGTATGTATGTATGTATATATATTCTCGAGTATATATATATATATATATATATATATATATATATATATATATATATATATATATATATATATATATATGTATGTATGTATGTATATATGTGTATATATATACATATATATATATATATATATATATATATATATATATATATATATAAATATGTATGTATATATATATATATATATATATATATATATATATATATATATATATATATATATATATATATATATATATATATATATATGTATGTATGTGTATATATATATATAAATATGTATAAATATATATATATATATATATATATATATATATATATATACATATATATATATATATATATATACATATATATATATATATATATATATATATATATATATATATATATATTTGAGGAGGACGACACTAGCTAATATTTTATTAAAAATCTTTTTTTTTTGGGTCAATTTATTTCTACATTTTATTTTTTTGTTTAATAAAGTAGGTAGTTCACTTTGTATCATTGTTTGAATTAATTACTTATGTTGTTTTCATGGGTGGGATACTTTATTTACGGAGGATCAAGTATCCCCATATAGACAGGGATAGTTGATTGCTGCAAATGGGCGACAAAAAACTGATCTAGTTTATTTGTTCTGCATGAAAAAGTTTTTACATGAACAGCCTATAGAAGGAGATGAACCACATTAAACTGTGTAAAGAAACCAAGGAAAAAATTAAAACGGTCAGTAAAAATCTACAAAAACCAAAACAGGGATCAACCTTATATATACACATATTCTTTCCCCACTTTTCCCCTAAATCAAATTCTCTTCAATAATTAAAACTAAATAATTAAAAGTTTTTTAATTTTATTTTGAATCAAATGTTTAAAAATCCAATAAAACTAACATTAAAAACCGCTTCAAAATATGAGCAAACTGTTTTAAAAACTATTAAAAATTGTAACAATGTAATTGCCACCAAAATTTCCTAGAGTCTTTTGCAATAAAATTATGCAAAATAGTTGGGGAGAAGTGGGACAACAACTTTATTCTCTGTCCCACTTCACTCCTATGTAGGGCAATTTCAAGTTAAAATAAAAATTTTAGTACTAAAATGTTGATGTCAGTCATCATCTGATGACATTAAATGATGACAATGTCAGTTAAAAAGTAGGCAAAAAATTTATTTGTTTATATTAAATAACAGTAATTAGGAAACGCTCTTAATTAGAGTTATTAGATTGTCCCACTTCTCCTGTGTCCAACTTCACCCCATTACCCCATAATAAGATCATTAAAGGTTTAAATGAAAGATTTCCAGCAAAAAAAAAAAGTTGCTTGCTGAAAAATATCTAATAGTCACATTAAAATTTAAAATCAATCAGCTTAAGTATAGTTAAATAGGAGCATAGTTTTCTACATAAAAATACTTAATACATAAACATTGTTAAATACTTTTTAAATAATCACTTATAGGAAAAATTTTGTGCACTTATTGGATACTGCGCAATTTGTTGACTACTTTAATCTGGTGTTAAAAGAAACTAATGCTTTTAATTCTTTTTCTCTCATTTAATTCTTTTAAATGGAAACTCATATATTACAGGAGTAATACTTTTATTATTATTATTTTTATTATATATATAAGTCAAGCAACTGCCTTAATTGATCAAAATTGCTGCATTGACCACCCAAAATGAATTTATGCCGCTCAAGGTTGACCCATTAAAAAAAATCAGGGTTTTAAAAAATATGTTTTTACAAACAACAAAGATGTACTTATAAAATTCTTAATATTTGCAACACCAAAAATATTTTAGACTGAAATATATTGAAAAAGTGTCAATAATATTCTTATTGTTTATCATAAGCTTTTTTTAATTCATACTGTTGACCAGTATTATATATTACATAAACAATACTGCTATTTTTTACACATCTTTAGCTTCACTTTACAGTAAAATCAATGGTCACCTTTTATATAATTGATTTATGTTCTTATTTTAATAATATTTTTTGTTGTTAATTAAAAACATTCTTATTCACACTGTTTGTTTTTTTTCTTGTTTAATTTTTTTCATTGAATTTTTTTTTCATTATATTTTTTTATAAAACCATTTAAAACTTTTCTACCATATGTGAAGTCATTGCAAACATTTAATTGCAATAACTTCAATGCTTTGTGTTAAAAAAATATATAAATATTGTTAGCACATTTTTTCTATTGAGTTTTAAAAAAAAACAAATAGCTTTTTAATTTCTTTTGTGGTAGTTCATAATCCGGTGCTTTCCTCGTATTAAATATTCAGTGTCAACTATTTTAATTTTGTTGTGCTTAAAATATATAGGGCTTTGATTAAACTTCATATCATTATTGCATGATAAAACTTCCTGCAGAAACTCTAGGTTTCTAATCAAAATATTGGTCACTCATACTAATAAAATTTAAAAATTAAAATTGTACGTAAAACATTAGGGAGTAATAAATAACAAAAAAAAAAAAATTATTAATTAAGCATAAAAACTTTTTATGCTTAATAATTTTGTAAAAGTTTTATTATATTATATAAAAATTTAAAAAAGTTAGTTAAAAGTACAAAAATACTATCTAAAATTTCATTAATTATTAAACCTATTATCAAACCATTTTTAATCTGCGTATGTGATCTATTTTAAATTAATACTATTTCAAACTGATAATTCGAGCAAGGTAATCGAATATTGATATACCAGAATACCAAAATCCAGGATACCTGTCAATTTTGCCAGCTTTGAATACCGGTAATCAAAGGCTTAAATACCTGTATTTTGGTATTTTAATAGTTGTTTTTTTATTCATTATTTTCACTAATATTTATACTTGTATGCACCTTTTTTGGAATGTATTGCATTGTCATATTTCAAATTTCAAATATATGAAAAGTTATAAACATTTGTTTGTTTTTAAATACTTTTTATTCTATTATATATGTTTTAACTGTTTGTGTGACTCTAACTCTAACTCATTGATGAAACACTACATTGTTTCATTAATAAGCTTTTGACATCACATATAACGATTTAAACTTAGTGCTCTGAGTTTAAATCAAAAGTGTCAAAAGTTGAGTTAAACACATTATTAATTTACTCATTATTACTTGACTCATTATTTAAATTATTCAAATTCCCTGGAGATTTTTAATTATGGGTTGTTTTTTCTTTTCTTTTTTGAAACAGTTATAAGTGCTTATACTTTAAAGCAATGTATTAAACATTTTAGTTATTTGTTAAGGAGTAAAAAACATGTTTATAAATATATGTTACAAAATCTATATATTTAGAAGTTTGAAATATTTCTATGATATTTTTTTTGAAATAAATACAAAGCACAACTTAGATAAGTTTAAAAAATTACCATTTTTAAGTTTAAATTTAAATACTATTAATATTAAATGTTTAAATCAGTCATATATTCAAAAATTTGACAAAATAATTTAGCTATGGAGAGTGATATTAAAAAGTGTGTTGAGCATTTAAAAGGTGTAGATAAAAATTCTGTTTGGTTTTTCTTTCTCAAAGATAAAAAAAGGACATAATGCAAAGTGTAAGAAGTGAGCCAAAGTTAAAAAAATACCAGGTGACAAGCAGCCTTCATACACATTTAAAAACCAAACATGATGTAATACTACAAAAACGAGATGCTATTGACCTTCTTTGTGAATATAGTTCATAATCTAATATGCCTTCTCCAAAAATTACTAAATATCTTAAAAACACTACAAAAAACTCGCTGGCAGCAATATGATCTAGAATGACAACACTTAATGGGCTTCCATTCATTAAAAGCATTAAGGTGGTATCAGAGAAAAAAAGAGGCATTTTTTGAAATTTTTTGCAAAAATTATATCACTTGGTGTGATATAAAAAAACTTATGCATTCAAGCTAAACTTGCCTTTCTAGATTTTTAGATTCAGAAAAAAATGAAAGTTTGCTCATTCTACATCTTCATTGCCTAAGATACACATTCTTAAAAAATTATCAACATTCTTTATTGGAAAAAAAAATATCAACAAAATCTTATGATGAAATTTGTTTAATTAGATCTATATTCAGGTTATGCCATCACCAAAAGAGAATCTAAAAGACATGTCTAAAAGCATGTTGGAACAAGAAGCTTTCTTTGTTGGAAGTGAAGATGATTTTCAACATTTTCACTTCCAACAAGGCTGCAAGCAACCACTATTAGAGTCAGAGATTACTGGAAGAGAAAAGATGAAGTTTATAGAGCAAGATAACAATTAACAGACAACTTAAAAGATTGCAAATTATATGAATCAGGAAAGCAAGATTAAGGAAGCGAACTCCAAAGAACTGATGTTCAAGGAAAAAAACTTGATGTTTTTAGAACACTTAAGAATAGTCACAGAAAAATGATGAGACTTAATTGAATGACA